TTGTTGTGAAATGAACTGCATTGCTGAGTCCTGAACTACACGGCTAGTACTGAAGAGAGTCTGGAAGTGTTCGGACCATCGATTCAGAATGGAGACTTTATCTGTGAGAATAGTTTGGCCATCTGTACTGAGTAGAGGGCTTTGAACCTGGTGTGTAGGACCGTAGGCTGTCTTCAGGCCCTCATAGAATCCCCTGTAAAATATCCAGCCTAATATCCAGCCTAACCCCACTCAGCACAACCTGAGGCCACTTCCTCTCACCCTGAGTGAACCACTTAAATTTTAACGCTAACTGCATTTACCAACGAGCACAACAGTGATTCCCTCAATCAGGACGGAATTATACACCAGGAACAGCCAGGAACTCACACTCTTTGATGAACAGGTATGTGAGGGTGAGGATGACGGTGTGGCCGCTGTACAGGTAGTCGCCGCACATGTTGTGGGATCCCGTGATGGACAATCCTCCACCAGCGATCAATTTCATTATCCTTCGCAGGTGAGATTCCCAGTCTCCAAAAAGCTGGGGGAAGAGGAAAACACAAAAGCACAGTAAAATATCAGCTTTAACCTGCCAGAGTTTAAAGCAAAGGGTTTAGCCAGCGACTCTGCCTTTCGTTTCTTCTGGAAGCGAGACAGGAGTTCACTGATGCTTTGCACCTATTATAGCTGATGTTCATGTGAGGTTTTCCTTCTGTTCAAGGGGCAATGCCCTAACTGATGATAATCTAACAGAAACCAGCATGAACTGTACATCCAGCTGCCAAAACCAAGATTTGATGAAGAGTATCTCGCTCCAAACCCTAAGGCCACCTCGGAAAAGTCTTCAAAGTTCTCTCTTTCCGTTTCACAGTCTGACAGAAATGCGTGTGGTGTCTGTCAGAGCACGGTGCCCAACTTCAAGAAGTGGCAATTAGAGAGTTTCTGACGGACTTCGGCAGGTTCTTTGTAGGAATTAAACATTTCCTGCTAACTCTTCATTACAAACATTAAAACGCTCCCCAAAGCCCACTCTTCAGAACTGTATATAACTCAATAAGGTGCTGAGAAGTTATTCTTTTCCCACCAGTGCATTTATAGCTTTCCAGAAAAACCAGTCAATCATTAATCTGATCGGGGCAACAGTACGAGCTTGCCTCTACTTGAGTAATGAGAAGGATTTGCCAACACTGTAAATTCCCCAAAGTGGCAGATTTATTCACTTCAGCCCATAAGTACCTGTGTTCTTTTTTTTTAATTTCATAACAGATGACTGATCAAACAAAGTGTTGACTCCTCTCCCGCTCTCTTCTCCTTCCAAAAACTCTGGGCCCCTCTAAAAGCCACACATGGCTTGGCAAACATCCTGCCTTGGCAAAGTACTGGTGCTGGTACATTCACTGGCTTGATTTCCCTAAGGAACTGAAGCAGTTCAGCTTTGTTTGTACCTGCCAATCCTCACCCAAGCAACGGCAGCACATGCCCCAAGTCACAGCGGGGATTTTACTGCCTGTCACTCAATTTACGGCTGTGCACACTAAGATATTTTGGGTGGCATGAGACGGATGCAACAACCCTGCCCCATTCTCCACCCCAAGCAGGTGAATTACCCTTCCAGGCTGACCACAAGGGGCTTGTCCAATGCACCTCTGTCCCAGTAGCCTGGTTTCATCCACGGCTTTTGCAAGGCCACTTTATTCCTTGGCACAACAAACGTGAGTCAGTGCTACATCCGGGAGGAGGTGACAAGCTCCTTGTGCTACCACAGCTGCAAAAACACATGCAGTGGACAGAGTTCCACCAGCCTCAGGAAAGCCTCTTGGGGCCCATTTTCAAGCACAAATGATATTTGGATTCCACACACTGAGGTGGTTTGAAATAAATGAGTCTCACACGTGGCACACCTGCAGGCTGCACACCTTCAACCGCTTTGGTGGAGACAGAAAATTGCTGATCGTGCAAATTAGTTGAAAATGCCACAGAAATGGTGTAAATCAGAGTTTTGAAAAGGGTGGGAACGACTGCACTGCCCCCCAAAACACCTGTCACCACCTCCACCAAGAAGGGCAGCCAATTATCTGCGGAAGGATGTCCCTGTCACACCAAACCAGTGTTCTCAAATTAGAATCACAGAACGGTTTGGGTTGGAAGGCACCTTTAAGATCAGGGACAACTTCCACTATCCCAGGTTGCTCCAAGCCCCGTCCAACCTGGCCTTGGACACTTCCAGGGATCCAGGGGCAGCCACAGCTTCTCTGGGCAACCTGTGCCAGGGCCTGCCCACCCTCAGAAACAACTCCCGACAAAGTGTTGCTGGTAGTTTTGGTTAAGGGCAGGCCAAGGGGGAAACATGCAGATTAAGAACATGGGAAGGCAGCCAGAAGCAGTTTACCTTTGGAGAACACTTGAAATGCATTCCAGGTACTGGGAGCGTGGTCACGTACATTGTAATACACCGGTACAGGTACAGTGTGCCAACTATACAGAAAAATCTTCTGCTAATTATAGACCTGGGAGAGGGGGGGGGAAAAAAAATAGAGGATCAAAATAAGGAGGTCACTCGAGGCAAACAAACCACACAAAAGGTAAATAAAACAAACCACCAACTGTTTGCTTCTGATGCTTTTGGAACTCGTGAGGGTATCGGCTTACACCTGAGAATACTGAACTGCTCCACAAACATTCCCACGCTTTCCAGGTCAGGAACACAAGAGCAACTCATGTAACATGACCCACGGAGGTGATTACAGGAAATCTAAGGATTAGAACACAAAGGCCTGCGCAGATCGGGTGCTGAAGACATTAAAAGGGGATTTCGAGCCCCAAACCCCTCCATTAGCTGGGGGCTGTCACTAATTTCCTATTCAAGGCAGGGGATAAAGTCACAGTATTTTCATTCTAAGGTGAAAAGGAGGAAGTTTGTTTCAGCTTGGATAACCTGAAGGAGGTGAGAACAGACCGCTCCTGAGCAGCACTACAAAGGAAGCAATTCACATCAGCAAGGAAACCTCCAAACTGCAACTGCAGAGCTGCCCTGGCCACAGCACAGGGTGTCTGCAGGGGAAGCCACTCTCCAGGCAAGCAGCCACAGCTGCAAAGACATTTATTCCTGAGGGTTGCCAGCTAATCCCTGGTGGATACAGAGA